ACCAGATCTGTTCCAATTTCACTGCATTGGCCTGGTCTGAATCAGTTCTAACTGGGTCAAATCCCTGTTTTTAAACACAACCCTGAAACTTTACATGCTATTATTTTGCTCAATCTTTGTGATCTGTTATCAATTAAGTAATTATTAGTTGTCTTATTTGATGAAGATCAAAAAAATTAAATTATCAATATGCTGGCAAAGAATACTGAAACTACCATGGACTGCTAAAATGACAAACTGATCCCTCTTAGAAGTATGGCCAGAATGCTCCTTAGAGGCAAGGATGGCAAGACTTTGTCTTACATACTATGGACACACTGTCAGGAGAGACCAAAGATGAAGGCCCTCAACAAGATGGATTGATGCTGTGGCTACAACAATGGGCTTAGGCATAGGAACAATTGTAAAGATGGTGCAGCATTTGTGTATAGGGTTGCTGCAGTTTGGAACCAACTGGAATGGCACCTAACAAAACAACATGTATTATTGTAACTGATTTTCATGTGTAAGTAAATGTGGTATAGAAAATGAATCTGAAATCATTTTAAGTAAATAAGAATTTTTACATAATACCACTTAATTGTTTTTTCAAAGTTATTATAATTCAAGTGAAGGTTTACTGATCAGGTCATCAGTATTACCTTCAGCAATTGATACACATTAGGTGTCTTTTATTTTTCACTTTTCCCCTCACCCTTTTATTAGGATATAATCCAGACATCATGCCATCCAATTGTTTAATCCATCCATTTCTATCTCCTTATTGTGGCATAGGTAATCCCATTTTCCCTAGTATTTCCTGTACCTATTCCGCCTTCTTTCCTAACCCTCTGAATGTTGTCCCTGAGTAAATTCTAACCTTTTGACTTTAAATAATTGATTGTTCTAACATGGGCATGAGTTAAGTTCCAGATCTGAAGAATTACCAACTGCCATAGTGCTGAGTGTCCTGTAAATATCTATACACCAATACAACTAATCTCTTTTATGGTTTTCTCCCTCTCTGTCTAAAACCTTCTAATGTGATCCTTTCAGAGTAGTTGGTAGTAATAGCCTAACACTATCTCATTCTTCTTTACTCAGGGTTGTGGATACTGATGCTTGTGTGGTCATTTGGTTCATTTGCTTAATTGTTTTTATGTGTCTTTTGGTATTCATCATTCTCCTTTCCTCCAGATGCAGACCAATATTTATACCTTATATTGCTGGTCATGGCATTTTACTGCTTAAGTACTTTCATACTTCTGATTTATATATGCCCATCTCAGTACCCTTACCTGAAAATGTGGGACATTTCTTTGTTCTTATATATGACTTCTTAAGAATAAGATGATATATATATATATATA